CCATGCATTATATTTGAGATAGTCTTTACTCATATGAATGACTTATCTCTCACATGATGATGTTCCGATTCATTCTTGTTTGCTTCCATGAGCTCCATGCATGTGTTCGAGCAAGTCTAACTCATGTGCATAACTCATCTCTCACATGATGATGATCCGATTCAATGTTGTTTGCTTCCATGAGCTCCATGCATATGTTTGAGCAAGTCTCACTCATATGAATGACTCATCTCTCACATGATGATGTTCCGATTCATTCTTGTTTGCTTCCATGAGCTCCATGCATGTTCGAGAAAGTCTCACTCATGCGCATAGCTCATTTCTCACATGATGAATCTTGATTACTTCTATGAGCTCCGTGCATGTGTTTGATCAAGTCTCACTCATGTGCAAAGTTAATCTCTCATATGAGGATTCTTGTTTGCTTCCACGAGCTCCATGCAATGCCATGTGTTTGAACAAGTCTCACTCATATGAATGCTTCATCTTTCACATGATGATGTTCCGATTCATCCTTGTTTGCTTTCATGGCTTCGTGCACTTGCTTGATCTAGTCTCACTTGTGTACTTCACTTATCTTCCACTTTGTGCTGTTCCGATTTAATCTTGTTTGCTTTCATAGCTCCATGTGTGTGTTTGATATAGTCTCACTTGTGTATTTCACTTATCTTCCACTTGGTGTTGTTCCGATTCAATTTTGTCTACTTTCATAGCTCCATATGTGTGTTTGATCTAGTCCCACTTACGTATTTCACTCATCTTCCGCTTGGGGATGATCCGATTCAATCTTGATTACCTCCATAGCCCCGTTTGTGTGTTTGATCTAGTCTCACTTATGTATTTCACTCATCTTTCACTTGATGATGTTCCGGTTCAACCTTGTTAGCCTCCATAGCTACATGCATGTATTTAGTCTAGTCTCACTCATGTGCTCACTCATCTTTCACTGGATGATGTTTCAGTTCATTCTTGATTGCTTCCATAGCAAGGTGCATGTGTTTTGTCTAGTCTCTCTCATGCTTTTCACTCATCTTTCACTTGGTAATGCTCCGGTTCATTCTTGATTGCTTCCATAGCTACATGCATGTGATTGATCTAGTCTCACTCATGCTTTTCACTCATCTTTACTTGATGATGTTCCAATTCAACCTTGATTCGGAGGAAGGTCTAATGCCTAAAAGGGTTGATGTAATGCTTAATAGGTGCTGATGTAACCTTGATTCGGACAAGAGGCAACTTCTCCTCCCATTCATCCTGACTTGGCTTGATGTAATGCTTGATAGGTGCTGCACTACTCGGTTCATCTGTTCCGCCGATCTGTTTGACTCAGGGTGATTACCTGATGCCATATGCAGTCTGGTACCCATCTGTTGGGCTGTGTTTCGCCATTGTTAGCTTGTGAAGCGCACATCCCTGTCATTGATGATGGACTTAGGAAAGCCAAAGTCCCGTACCCTGTAATCCATAAACAACCTGATGACGTAGTCGGTTTTAGCGGTCTCTGGCATAGCTATTAGTCTTGCATACTTCGAAAAACGGTGAACTATAACGAAGATGTGTCTTTTCCCAGACCTCCTGGTTACAAGAGTATCCATGAAGTCCATGAACTCACTCTGAGCAAGTCCTTCAGGAATCGGCAAGGGCTTGATAAGCCCAAGCAGAGCCTGAGTCCTAGGTTTGTCCCGTTGTCAAACCTGGAAGGTTTCCACGTACACACAGTCTTTTATTCCCAACCTTTTGAAGAAATAGCAAGCCATTGACCAGCCCAAACTCATCGTAGGTAACTTTATCTTTAGCCTCCAATTTGCGAATGATCTCAGACATAACTGTATCTTCCTGATAGGCTTCCACCAGGGATTGAGTTACATCGTTGGACATGTCAAACTCGGTTACTAGCGTGCCCAGATAATCTGCCCGGCGTGATAGTGCATCAACCACTTTGCTGTACTCTCCCTTGATTGGATCAAGTTGATAGTCATACATGTCTATCACTTGAATCCACCACTTGAGTGCGTCAAAGAGTACAGGCTGTGTCTTGATCCAGTGCAAGGTCTCATGGTCAGACCTCACATAGAAGAATCTGCCCAGGAGATAGTGTCTCTGATGGACCAGCGTCCGGTACAGGGCATAGAGCTCACGCTCACAAGTAGATCTGGCCAATTTCTGAGAGGGCATCTTTTTACTCATATACTTGATCGGTCTCAAAACTTTTTCCCCTCCTTTTGCACAAGGACCTCACCTATGCCATATTGGTTGACGCCTGTGGTCACGACAAAAGGCTATTCAGGAATCCGGAAGTTTGAAGCGTAGTGTGTCAGCGCGTACTTCAATTTCTTGAAGGCTGCTTCGCATCTTCAGTCCACTCCCAAGGGGTGTCAAGTCGAGTTAGATCTATTATTGGGGAAGCTATAGTACTATAGTTTTTAACAAACGGACGATATTAGCCCGTCATCCCCCAAAACGATCGGACCTCAGTAACAGTCTGAGGTCTGGGCCAGTCCCGTATGCTGGCCACTTTGGCATCGTCCGGCCTCAACCCATCCGCGGAGATTTCATGACCCAAGTACAAGATCTTGGTGAGACCGAACTCGCATTTCTCCAAGTTTACCTTGTATTCGTGCTGTCTTATGAGACCTAGCACTATTTTCAAGTTCTCAGCGTGCTCCTCTACAGTCTTACTAACATAAGGATATCGTCGAGGTACACGGTGATAAAATGTCTAAGTACTCGTGAAATATCCTATTGATGGCGTGCTGGAATGTCCCAGGGGCATTGCATAGGCCAAAGGGCATCACCACAAACTCGTACAGACCGTACCTAGTCTGAAAAGCGATTTTGTGCTGGTCCTCGGGTCTAATGGCAATTTGATGGTATCCGGACTTTAGATCTTAGTAAAGTACCGACATCCGTGCACTCTATCCAATAGGTCGTAGATGCGGGGTAGGGGCTCTGCGTTCTTTACAGTGATGGCATTGAGGCCCCTATAGTCAATGCACATCCTTAGTGCACCTCCCTTCTTAGGAACAAATAAGACTGGCGCACTGTAAGGGTAGGTACTAGGCCGAATCCATCCCTTCTTTGTGAGCTCCTTGAGCTGGTGGCGGAACTCATCCAACTCCGCAGGAGACATCCTATAGATTCGTCCTCTAGGCACCTTACTACCTGGGACAACCTCTATTGCATGGACTACCTCCCTTTCCACCACGCCTGTGGGCTCCTAAAAAAGGTCAAAATATTGCGCGACGACTGAATCTATCTCTGGGGTGATTTTACGGCCTCCCCTTTCTCAGAGACAAAGACTAGATACATGCCCTCCTCGCAGTTCTGCTTATAGTAGTTATAGAAGGATGCTTCGCACATGCACCCGTAGTTTTCCCCTAGACTGCTAGCTTTAACAGCGAGATGACAATACCCAGAATCCACAATCACATTGAAGGCCAGATAGTATCACAGTGTCCAGAACGCAGCATTGCACCAATATGACGCCAATGGAGAATCGTAACACTGAAAACCAATGTCAATGAGAGCTTGCTCTCGCCACCACCAACACAAGAGTAGCAGGACCTTCTCCCTACTTGGCGCTCGGCGCCCAGCCTACTCCCTACGCAGCTACTGTCTGCCTACTAATTGACAATGCAACTGTTGAAGTCAGGTAATGTGCCCTCACATCAGCATCATCATCATCCTTCTCTCTCTCCCTCGACTTACACCCACGTCTTCCCTCTGTACACCCGAAGACCACCCCTCCGCCTCACTGTAGTCCAATCCCATCCAGCTATGGGGGCTGGGCTATGGCGCTGCCCTCAGCAGCGCCCTGCTTCCTGCACGACCACACGCGCTAGCACCTTGCCTCTCAGCGCCAGCAGCAGCCTACGAGTGTCCGCTCCAGCAGCGCTGCCGCCAGCATGCAAGTGCTGAATGCCTCCCCAGGCAGCGAGCTCTTTCCTATATGGAAAGAGCCTGCCTGCCTTCGCAGCCTGGCTGGGCCGGGCCTCGGCCCAGAAGCTTCTGGTAGGCCCCAGGACGGTGCGCCTCTGTTGCAGCTGCTGGGCCTCGTTCAGTTGGGCCTCCCAACTGTCTGTGTATGAGGCTGCAATTCTTGCCCAGGGCCTGCGTTTTCGGAAAAGCCTGGAAGGCCGTGGAATGTCTTTGCTGCTCGGCCTGTGTTTCCCTCAACCAACTGGCGCGTCACAACTGCCTGGACCCCAAATACGAAATTGACAGCTGAGGGCCTCTCGTGATTTGTTAGGCCCGCCTTCACTTAGGGCGGGCACATTTGCAACAGGGCCCCTTAGGCCTGCCGAGGACTCAGATCCTCGCAATACGCTCTACATTGGATGAAGGATTACTCGTTGAGAAGTGCGGGGGCCGGGGGAGGGGGGCAGTGGGCGCGGGGAAGGGAGGAAAAACAAAGAAGGTGGACTTATCAGAAAGAGAAGAACAGCGCCTGGATATAGGGAAAGGAAAGGAAGGAAGGAGAATTGGAAGAACGAGTGGGAGAACAAAGTTGAGGAGGAAAGTGAAGCTAACAAGGAGGAGAGGAGTCAAGGGCAGAAGTGCTAAAGGAGAAACCAGCAAATACACAACAGAAGCAGAGAAGCAAAGGGTTGGGGAACAAAGGAAGGAGAACGCTACAGTCACAGTCGACATGTGCTGTCCAGACAGAGGGATAGGAAACACAAAGGTCACTGTTTCAAGGGAAGTACTAAAGAGGATGTTTCTCGACTCCTGAACCTTCAAGAGATTAGCAAAGGCGGCACAGACAGGATGGCAAAAAGCCTATCGGAGAATTGACTTATGCAGTGTGACTAAATGAGTAAGACTTATACAGTGTGACTGCATAAGTGTGGCTACACTGCATCTCATGACCTCTTTAACGCAGTTATGTAGTTGCGCTACAGAAGAAGAGTGACAAAGAGGGACGAGATCCTAACCATGAGCTGAGGGGCAGGATCAAACAGGAGAGTGAAGCACCGGCTTCTGCTGCATGACATACTTACCGATACAAGAGTCGCATCTATACCGCTGCTCCTCGCAAGCTTGATTTGCACTCCTGTCACTGCGGATATCCCATGAGCTCCACGGAGAAGAGCAACCAAATGCGAAGCAACCAGAGGTTCTTGTTTCGTGGGGACATTATCAGCATCAGACATGTGCGGGAAAAAGTCCTCCACACCTGTTGCTGAGAACAGAATAAGGTTCCCTTTTTGATCACCGCACGCAATGAGCTGTCATCAAGCGAGTCGCAACCAGAGATACATTTTAGCATGAGATCTTCCTGCACTTGCTTTGCCACTTTCCTTCTCTAGGTTTCTTCAAGATAAACTCGTGCGATACAGTCTATTCACCTGGGATGCCACTTTAATTATGTGGGTCCATTAGCCATCAAGGAGTTTTGAGTAACCAGAAACAACTTGGGATGCACATCCATATAGAACACACAAATATCATAATTACTCAGATAAGAGGGAGGGTAAGGCAGAAAAAGAGCATGACAAATTGAACAGAAGCATGATACGTTGATGATCCACTGTACAACCACAGTGACCTGTTTACCAAAAAAAGAAAAGGAAAAAAAGGAGAGCGAGACCCAGTTTGGTCTTGGGGGGAGGCCCAAGGGAGGGGGTATTTTTCTGCTACTGTGGCTCTCCCTGATTTGACGGTCCATCGTTGAGCCACTACCGCCTTAGGAACAACAAGGAGGATATAAGCAGGCAACCCTTGTTCTGCAAACCCTGGATTACAAACAAGACAGTGGAGAAACTAGAGATTCTTGGTTACTCACAACTCACGCCAGTAGGTGACTGTCACAAGGGGAAAAAGGAGTATCAAAGATACAGTACATATGGGACAAGGAGCAGATGAGGGGAGACCGGGAGGCCCACCGCCATGTTCTAGGCCAAGACACCTTTTTGGTGCCAGCCAGGCTCTCGTTTTCGAGCATTTACTTATTTATTTATTGCTGACCCTTGCCTGGTCCTATTTTCGTCTGTTTCAGGGCATCGTGTTGGACTTTTCAGAATGTCCGAACAGACCAATGTCTGTTCGGACCAAGGCCGCGTTTTTGGCCAGGTTTGGTTTCGTCTGGTAGCAGACAATGCCGGACATTCCCTGCTGCATCAGCAGGGAAGACCTGGACATCCAGTAGGGACCCAGGCAGGCCGTTCTTAGGCCAGGCCCAGGAGCAGGACTTTTCCCTGTGATCTGGACCGTGGATTGGGCCCACGATCTCGCGGCCCAGATTGGAGGTCCTGCGCAGTACACCCAGGCCCGGCGCTACTTATAGCTGGGTCAGCCCAGCTCATGGGCAGACAGGAGTTCCCACTTCTTTGGGACGTCACACTTTTGGAGCAGCACGCTGCTTTCAGCACTGCGTTGCAAAGGGGGGAGAGAGAGAGAGAGAGAGAGAGAGAGAGAGAGAGAGAGAGAGAGAGAGAGAGAGAGAGCTGTCTCTTATACACATCTAGATGTGTATAAGAGACAGGAGAGAGAGAGAGAGAGAGAGAGAGAGAGAGAGAGAGAGAGAGAGAGAGAGAGAGAGAGAGAGAGAGAGAGAGAGAGAGCTTGCAGGCAGAGGTTATGTCGAGCTTTAAGGCCCAGGATATGATTCGACATCGTAGCGGCAGACATTGATTGGACATTCGACAGAGAGACTATTTTTGAACTCCGCTATCGCAATCTTGCTCTTCTCCCTCATCTCCATCTCCGTCTTGCTCCTCCCCCCTCACCTCATCTGTGGTATCTCCCCATGTGCGTGTTCAAGGAGGGACCTTTCTTCCATGTGTGTGGTCCCTACCTTCTCTCTCACATGTGTGGTGTGTGATGGGTTGAGTGCATCAGTATCTGACACATGCCCAGTTGGGAATGTGTATGGAGCCAAGGATTGTGATGAAAAGGACTGGAAAGGACAATGCAATGTACATCCCGATACATACAAAAATGGCACAATGTAGCGCAGTAGAAGACTCAAAGATATGACCTGACCTGACTGAGACTGACGTGACATCCCATCATACACCGCACATGTGAGGGAGAGAGGAGGGACCGCATACACAGAAGAAAGGTCCCTCCTTGTACACACAGATGGGGGAGATACCATGGATGAGAGATGGGGGGCAGAGGCGAGACGAAGAAGGAGGCGAGGGAGAAGACCAAGATCACAATAGCGAAGTCCAAAAATAGTCGCTTGCCAAATTTCCAATCAATGTCTGCCCCAAAAATGTCGAATCAGATCCTGGGCTATACGCCCGATGTAACCTCTGCCTGTAATCTCTCTCTCTCTCTCTCTCTCTCTCTGAAGAAGAAGAAGAAGAAGAAGATGAAGAAGAAGAAAAAGAAGAAGAAGAAGAAGAAGAAGAAGAAGAAAGAAGAAGAAGAAGAGAAGAAGAAGGAGGAGGAGGAGGAGGAGGAGGAGGAGGAAGGGGGGAGATGAGATGGAGGGCGAGACGAAGAAGAAGAAGAGGATGTCGTCCTCTTCGTTGTCTCACCTGCAGGGAACTGCCGCCGTCCACTGATCGCCGTGTCGTTGTCGTCCTGTCCAGGTCGAGTGCGGAGTCCCAGCTATGGCGCCAGGTAAGTCCGCCGCTGCAGGTATGGGTTCCGCCCCTCTCCTACCTACGCCTCTACCTCTACTACAGCGCTGGGCCAGCCGGTGTGCCTCTGTGTGGCCTGAGAAACAGCCCGCACGGTCTAGACACCCGGTAGGGGCCCCGACCGTACTGCTGATGCAGCAGGGCGCCAAATGTGCGCCTGGCCTCTATCGGCCCTGCCTCCTGGTGCCTCCAAGCCCAAGGCACTGCCTTGGGGACTGCAAGTCTGAAACGACGTCTCAACAGACACGAATAGGACAGCACATAAATAAATGAATAAATAAATAAACAAATGTTGTCGCGAGGTCGTACCTACGGCCTAAGGGCCGCTGTGGGCCTCCAGGGCGTGTGTCTGATGGGCACGCGGCCTGGGGGCCCCTCAGCAACCATCGGGCCCCTGAAATGGGGCCCATGTGCAGGTGCAGCATGTAACACCCCCCCCCTCCTTATGAAGTCAAACCGGTGTCGGGACCTTTGGTTCCAAATCAAGTCCCGGCCCTTGAGACATGATATACGGCTAAGATGTGCACGACAAAGGAACCCGGAATGAGGAGGCAAGAGAGAAAGAAATGATAAAGAACTAAGGCAGGATCGTCGACGACAAGGACCCAAGAGGAGGCCCGAGACTGCCGGAGCTTTAGGACCAGGAATAGACCGCGGAGTTGTGGTCGACAAAAAGCCACGAGAAACTAATAAGTACATGCGGGACACGCGGGACAGGCCCTACACAGCCATGCAAACTCCCGTAGGCCAATTGCAGATGCAGGTAACCCCGATGGGTTTCACAAAATCAGTGGACGAGGGACAAAGGAGAATGCTCGCAGTGGCTAGAAATATGTTTCCAGCAAAATGTGAGCCCTACATCGATGACAACCCGATCAAAGGAGCCCAAGAAAAAGGACGAAACGGAGGTTCAGCCTGGGATCCAAAAGTTGTGTGGGACCATCCGCAGGATATCAAGGAGCTCCTTTGCAGGTTCTTGGTATACAACATTACTGCCAGTGGCCCCAAAAGTATTCTTGCAGTCCCAGGAGTGACCATCTTGGGGTTTTGTTGCAGGTCATATGCGAGAAAGTCTGATCCGGCCAAAACCGACAAGATTTCTCAGTGGCCAACTCCCCTCCGTACCACGACGGAGGTAAGAGCCTTTCTGGGGGTTGTCGGGTTCTGGAGGATCTTTATCAAAGGTTTTGTCAAGATAGCAGAACCTATCTGCGCCATGATTCACGAGGAAGGGACAATGGATTGGACCGAGGAGCGAGAGGCTGCAGTCCAAACCCTCAAGGACATATTAACGTCGGATTAGGTTACCCTCGCCGCTCCACGCTTTTATGATGAGGTAGGACGATCGTTCATACTCGAAAGTGACGGAGGTCCTTTAGTTGTGGGAGGGGTTCTGATACAGAAAGGCGAGGAAGGAAGAGAGAGGCCTATCAGATTCGAGAGTAGGACATTAAACTATGCGAAACGACGTTACTCCCAATTCAAAAAGGAAGTACTAGTTGTGCTTCATTGCCTCAAAACCTTCCAAGCTTACCTATTTGGTAGATGCTTCATTTTGAGAATCGATCCGACGAATGTTGCAGGGGCCCTAAAAAATTACAAGCTTATAGACCCTACTGTGGGAAAATGGGTGGGGTTTATCAGGCAGATCGAGTACAAAATCGAACGGATTGCTGGGCTTAGGAATAAGGTTGATGATTTGAGTCGAATTTGCATCACACCGAAAGGGAAAGAGGATGCGGAGCCTATCAATGCATTCCTTGGCTACGAGCGAGGAACCCTTGTGGTGGACAACGAAATGATGAACAAAATGTGCGCTTCCGAGGAGTTGTTGATCGAAGCTCTGGAAAAGGGGCCGCCCGCTGTATTCGTGGAACCCAGCGAGGGACCAATCACAAGGCAGAGTCGTACGGAGGAAAAGGATTCGTGGGGAGCGACAATGGGTCCAAGGGAGGAACTGATAGCAATGGCAGTCCAAGGAGGACGGGAAGCCGTTATGAGCCTGGTCGAGTCTTGGGAACAAAGGCTGCAACAGTACCTGGTGAACCAGGGTCAAGACAAGCGGGCGGAGTGTCAAGAAGAGAAGGAATTCTTCTATGTCCAAATGAAGGAAGCCAGGAAGTACGTTTTGAAGAATGAACATTTATTCAAAAGGGAGGAAGACGCTATGCCCAGAAGGGTTGTGCGTGGGCGGTCCAGACAGTTTGACATAATCAAGGCAATGCATGATGGATTGGCTCGAGGGCACCGCTCCTCAAAAGGAACGCTGGCAAAATGGCACCACTCTACTTCTGGCCAAGGATGGAGAGTATGGTGGCCACGTACTGCCAGACTTGTCTAATTTGTCCAGAACAAAGTTCGACTCACATATTTGAACCTCTGAGGCTCACGCGAGTGCTAGGGTCGAGGCATTTGGTCCACCTCGACCTCGCGGTTATGCTTGTATCTACGGAAGGGTACATATATATTATTGACGCTAGAGACAACCTGAGTGGGTTTGTGGAGGCAGTGGCCCTCAAGAAGAAAACAGGAAAAGGGGTGGCAAACTAGATTGACGATTTCTACTTGAGGCACCTTTTCATCACGAGGTTTGTAGCGCATAATGAGACAAAATTTGTAAACCAGGAGGTATTGAG